AAATGTGTTTGGGGGGGGGGGGGGGGGGGGGGTAGTTTGAGGTTGGATATTTGACAGACATTCTCTCCATATCCAGACAGTCTTGCAGTTTCTGATGGAGCTGGGCGCAGGAGGTCGGTCAGCTCCCCCCGCGCACCAACGGAGAGAGAATAATTTATGGCAACACACAAAAAAACATGGGAGCGGTGGAGTGATGAGGAGGTGTCGGCGTTCTGGTGATTTACTCGGTGGCTTCAGTAGAAGCTGCCGGGAGTCCCAGCAGCTTCTACTGAAGCCAGTCCCCAACTCCGGGGACTTTGGGAGGCAGTATACGCCGTGAAGTTGTTTGCGGCCTGACAGTAAACCCAAAACAGAAGAAGATGAAGTGACGTCAGCGGCTCATTTGCGTAATCTTCCCTCAGGGAAAAGTACTCCGGTGTGAACGCGATTGGTACTACTTAGTGCCCTGGGGTACTAAGTGCCGGCACTAAGTACGACAAAGTACTTGATGTGAAAGCGGCTAATATGGACCAGTGGTGGCGCCAGAGATTTTATTTTTGGGGTGCTGTGGGGTAGCTTGACGTTTCATAGAGGGTGCTTAAACAGGGTTTCCCATTAAGGTATACCAGGCGTATACAGTGGAATTTTCTACTGAAACACTCGATAATCAGCTCACGGCATATAGGTGTAAGCAGGGGTAAAGTGCTATTTTCTACAAGTGGGGGGCGGACATATCCTCCTCTAGGGGGGTCCGGGGGCATGCTCCCCCGGGAAGATTTTTTTTTTTTTAAATATTGAAGTTAAAAGCATCAATCTGGTGCACTTTGAGAGCAACATTAAGAGATCTATGGATACATCTCTCAACACCCATATGAGACAGAACTGTGAACAGATTTTCTTTTTCTTTATGGATATTTTATAAATCACTCCCCTTTTAAACTGTATTCTTGTTTTACTGTCATATAGTACTTCATAACTGTTTTTCATTTATTCTCTCATTTTTTTTAATAACTATAATGATCATATGAAGGTGTGCCTTGGAGATAATCTTTGACATTCGTGACCAAACCGTTTGAGACCCACTGAGATAACTTAGACTAAGTTAACTATCTAAACACTCAGAGAGTCCTTTAGCTCCAGAGATGGGGTCGTTACTCAAAAAAAGTAATATATTACACATTATTAAAAAAAAGAAGTAATATATGACTTTACTTTGTTACTCTCTACATAAAGTAACTGGTTACTTTAGTAATTTCTTTACATTACTTTTGCGTTACTCAGCAACAGCCTATAGCCACAACTTAAAACGTAGGCCTACATGTACACACATATAACAATTACTATTGCAATAAGGAAGACATAACACAAGTCTTTATTTGTATGCTCTTTAATAAAATAGGCTACCACAAGCTAAGAGTCGGTGAAAACCTAAAGAGCATTTCAAGAGAAAAATGTGGGGCAAACCTCCACCCAGGGACGTGCACAGACATTTTGGGGGGCGGGAGCTCAAATGGGAAAAAAGGCACTTCCCGTAATCATTTATTAAAAAAAAATGTAAAACCAAAAGTTAAATATAGTTGCACATCTCTGACTTACTGACCAATTTATTTGAATACGCTCACACTCACGCAATTGTTTAATACTCAGAATTCTACAAAAAATAATCAGCTAACCAGCAATGGCCTTCTTTAGTATTCACTACGCACAAGAGCAGACAACAAACTAGTACAATTAATAGTTATTAAATGAGCAGCCAACAATCAAAATGATGAAGTTACTGTTTAAGGACATTACAGGCTAAAATATCGTTTTTTCATGTACTTGTAAATATTGTTATTTTGGTCTATTTTGCTTCCATGTTTTCTTTCACTCTAATGCAGTGTTTCTCAAAGTGGGGGGCGCAGAGGCATGACAGGGGGGGGGGGGGGGGGGGGGGTGCGAGAGAACAGGAGGAAAAATGGTTGTTTAGAAAATAAATAATATGATACAGTACAGTACAATTACGTCTAGGTCTCTGTGTTTCATTCAAGCTCGGCTCTGTGTGTGTGTGGAACGAGCCATTTTGTGTGCGTGCGCGAGCGAGAGAGAGAGAGCGCACCGGTACCGGAGATCGTTGTTGTTAGCTTCTGGTGCTAGCAAGCTACGCTATGGGATATAAGGAGCTTTTTCCACAACAAGGCGGAGGAGAGTCCTCTCCTGTCAGACTGAGAGGCTCAGTGAACTAAAGGACTATCTGAGTGTTTAGATAGTTAACTTTAGTCTAAGTTATCTCAGTGGGTCTCAAACGTTTTGGTCACAGCACGCTTAAACCACGCTCCGCACTGTAGTGGGAATGCGCCATTAGACCCTTACGTCTCTTGGTACCCGGAAGAAAAAAATGGAAAAAGAGAAATCCCCAACGAGGCGTTCTGGGGCAGCATAGACAGGTCTTCTCTGTGTTAGAGTTTTACTTGCTACAGGGTGTTCTTTGAGGGTTTGTGACTTTGCAGACCGTTTACATGCATAACAAGCTACATAACACACAAGGGGGCGGGTAATAACCAGAAAAGCATGTCATGGGACCTTTAATGTCTTTGAATCCCTTTCAGAAAGTAATACTAGTTATTGTTTCCTAACTGTTTCCGTTATGAAACAATAACTGTTCCTGTTCTGAGCTGAGAGGCCTCCTGCTGCCCTCCTGTGGAAACTGCAAGATTTAGCTGGCTGTGGAGTCTGTCCAACATCCAACCTCAAACTAACTTCACCGCGGTGAGCCCTAAACAAACAAGCTCCTTATTTTTATCATGACAGCAGAGAGTCTACACATATTCTGTTTTGGACTGAAAACTCATCTGTTTCAAGTAACTGCACCTCTGCCAAATGTCTTTCTTCTGTATGTAGCACTATTGTTGAAAAATAGTATAATAGTGGACCTTTAAGTGGAGCTAATGCATTAGCACTTAATCTAGTTGGGTTTATAGAAACCTGCAGGATTCTGGCTTTTGAGTTTGTTTCTTCATGGTTGAATACACTTCTTGTTAGCCACTTTTAATAGCTATGAAAAGTTATATAATGTAATGTCAACTGAAACAATCATGCATATAGAAGTAGTTAAACCATATGGTCTACAATCTGAGAACGAAGATACACACAACTTGTGCCACAGTTCTATCTGGTGGACAAAAAAGGGAAGCCTCTCATTGGTCACAGTTTGAAACACTGTTATTAGAGTAATATTTAGACAGATGTTTGGCCTGCACTGCCCCTTCTGACTGAACATGAATTAGAAAGTGGCCTATCAGCAATCAATCAATTAATAATGTCACCTATGCATCCGTCAATGGACCAATAAATCACTTCCAAAATCAATCAACCAACAAAAATATCAATCATCACTTACTAAACTAATCAAACAACCAACCAATCATCACCCATCAACCAGCATTCACTTAATCAACCAACCCATTTTTTTAAATCTTCTTTTTTTTTTTTAAGCTTTTAAGGTTATTTGTATAGTTACATTTACATTTGGTGTAAATACTTGTCTTTAGCATCCTTTTTTAATGCTAAATTGTTTCTTAATAATACTTATTTTTGTACTATCCTTATATATTTCCTTTTTTTTACCCACTTTGCAACTTCTTTTTTTAATTGTTTGTTCCCACCACCAGAAAACAAAGCAAATTCCTTGTATGTGTAAACGTACCCAATACACTTGATTCTGATTCTGAATCACATCATTAACCTCCTTTCTGAATAGTTCCCATTTAGTTTGTATAGATAGTGGTGTGTCATGAACACTACACAGATGTGGAAATGAATGTAAAATAATTTCTAGATCTTGACAAATTGTTTTGATTATAAAGTAAATTTCAGTTCAAGATACCGTTGGCGGTGAATAAATGTTTTGGTAGATTTTCTGTGATCTGGAAGTAATGCACATGTGTAAATGATAAACTGAGGCACAAAAAAATATTTTTCTAAAGAAATGTCAGGTTGTAAATATAGTTCATTAAACGTGAACATTTTCAGTATGTACTTTCTGCACTAAACAAAGGGAATCATTTAAAGTCATCTTTATTCACAGGTTATTATGCTATGATTTGGCGGTGGTGGCGATGTCCATAGGGACTTGGCTTGGGAACCGGAAGGTCACCGATTCAAGTCCCCGAAAGACCAAGTGCTACCGAGGTGTCCCTGAGCAAGGCACCGTTCCCTACGCTGCTCCCCGGGCGCCGTACATAAAAATGGCAGCCCACTGCTCCTAACACTAGGATGGGTCAAATGCAGAATGTACATTTTCCCTCTGTGGGACGATTAAGGGTATATCAAATAAAATAAATGTTTTACTGGTCCGACCCATAGAGATCAAATTGGGCTGAATGTGGCCCCTGAACTAAAATGAGTTTGACCCCCCTGCTTTGAGAAGTGTTAGCTGCTAGCGCTCAAAGCTAGTGACTATGGGATCAGGTCTTCTTTGCAATTGTTGTTTGAGTTGTGTGAACTGCGATCGACGGAGCTTACACTAATTGCGCCGCATTTGCGCTTCAGATGAGGCTCCCTCCGCAAGAAGAGGCCCACTCCGCGAGGTGAGGCCCCCTCCGCGAGGTGCGTGATCTGCGTATAGGGAGGGGCGGCCCTGGGTCAGATACAAAACATGTCTCTGAAGTGTTTGGCTTGAAATACCAAACAGATCATAGTAGCATCCCATAATCCCCTCTGTTTCAGCCCTGTTTCAAAAGTGCTGATTCTCTCATGCGCCTTTCACACCACAACGTGATTCCCGTTCTAGCTCCGTGCTTACGCTCTTCTGGTTCGGAACCGGTTTTTATTTTCAGCCCCCGTTTTGTTCACACCGCTCAGAGCCCGACTGGTGCTGCCGCTGCTGCGTCATGACGTCACCGTTTACGTCGCTGATTTTCTCCACAACGGCGCTCACAACAACAATGGGGGACTGCGTCGGGTCGATGATCGTGTTGCTTTTAATCATACGAAGCCAGATTAAATTAAATAACTACTTCTCAACCCTTATACTTTTCTCCAGAGTCCCGTGGTTCATTGTTTACTAATGTGTTTCAGTGGCATTTACCGACCGCTGCAGTGCTGCCCGCTGTTTGGCATCACAACGCTGTTATGAAAGATTCTTTGTTATAAAATGGGTGATGTTAGCATACATGGGCACGAGAAGGGGGGTGCTGCAGCACCCCCTAGCGGCAGGCAGGGGGTGCGGAGCTCCCCTGTCTGAATTATTATTTGACGGTTATTGCTGCTCACGCTGTGCATAATTTGTGTAATATGTAGCCAATAAATTCCACATTGTTGGTAAAATAATATTTTGGCCTGCCCCGAATGTTTTTTCTGTAGCACCGGACAATTCTACCTCAATAATATAATACATTAACCATGCTTTACGTGAACCTCATCAAGACACTAGAGAGGACGAAAGGACTGTAATTTCCCATGTTCAGTGAATGCAACAGAGGCAAGACACCAGACCAATCAGAGAGTTGCATGGAAATAAAAGTCTGCTTGTGTCATTCAAGCTCGGCTCTGTATGTATGTGTGCGGAAATAGCGCATTTAGTGTGTGTGAGAGAGGGAGAGAGAGAGAGGGAGAGAGAGGGAGAGAAAGAGAGGGACCGGTGCCAGCAGCAGGGACCGTGTTGTTAGCATCTGGTTAGCTAGCTGCACTAACGGACGACATACGGAGCTGTTTGTTCCACAACAAGCTGGAGGAGAGCTCTCCTCTTCTGAGAGGCTCAGGTGAGCTAAAGGACTCTGAGTGTTTAGATAGTTAACTTTAGTCTAAGTTATCTCAGTGGGTCTCAAACGGTTTGGTCACAAATTATTCAAAAGATTATTTCCGCGGCACAGCTTCATATGATCATTATAAATAAAAAAAAGAGAATAAAGGAAAAACAGTTATGAAATACTATATGGCAGTAAAACAAGAATACAGTTTGAAAGGGGAGTGATTTGTAAAATATCCATAAAGAAAAAGAACATCTGCTTACAGTTGTGTTTCATCTGGGTGTTGAGAGATGTATCCATAGATCTCTTAATGTTGCTCTCAAAGTGCACCAGATTGATGCTTTCAATATTTAAAAAAAAAATTCCCGAGGGAGCACCCCCCCGGACCCCCCTAGAGGAGGTGAGGTCCGCTCCCAAATCGTAAAAAATAGCACTTTACCCCTGCTTATATGCGATGAGCTGATTATTGAGCCTTCATTGTAACAGTCGCGGGTGTACTGTGTTTGCGTGTGGGGAGTGCTTTTGTGCGTGCTCTATAGTGCCCGTAATAGTGTTCACTGGAGTCCAGCACTTCAGCACCCCCATTCAAAATACCTTCCCACACCTCTGTTAGCATAGCATGTGAAGTTAAACTGACTATCTTGACAACTTGTTGCTATCCTATTAATAGCCCATTTCCCAGCAGCTTCTTCTGAAGCCTTCCGAGTAAATCACCAGAAGCGCCGACACCTCCTCATCACTCCACCACTCCCATGTTTTCTTTTGTGTTGCCATAAGTTAGTCTTTCTCCGTTGGTGTGCTGGGCTAATGCTAATAATGCTAATGCGAGCAAATAAAATGGCGGCTTCACAAAACTTTTTTTTACGGGCCGTGGTTTGCAATTCGCCCAGCTAATCAGAAATTGGAACCTTTTTCTCCCCAGGAAAGTCCTGAAAAGGGGTGAAAAGGTTCTCGAAAAAAAGTTCTAGTTCCAGATCTTTTTGGTGTGAACGCAAAATCCCAGGAACTATCGGAACTATTCCTGGGAAAAGTACTCGTGTGAAAGCGCCTAATGGTGCACTAGGAGGAGATTCAGGTGATAAGGTGGGGGGTACCTTGGTTGGTTATTGGCTAATGGTGCCAAAAAATCGTTATGACATCATAAAGTGGCCAAAATCTGATCAGCTCATTTTCAGACAGGTTTTTATATATCAGATCAGAACAAAAAATTAGCTAATCTTTTTTCCTGAAACTTTCAGAATCTCTTTACACAGAGGGGACAAATGTTTATGTATAAAAGACATTCAATAGTGGATTTTGCATAATTGCTGACCTTTAAAACACTTTAGAGAAGATTGTAAGAAAGCACACAAGGAGTCAAGAAGGTCTGTTTTCTCATCTTTTAATAACACATTCATATCTATGCTCTGTTTTGTTTACAATGAGTTTAAAACAAGTGTTGATGAGGACTAAAGGAATCAGGCAGGCAGAGGGTGAAAGTCCATATACTGTAAAGACCAGAGGAGCTTCTGGGGGAGGAGGAGGGGCGGAGCCTCCTCACGCTGCTGCACCATCACACAGAGCCTGAGCTCGGAGCAGCGCGAGGAGGACACAGAGGATACAGAGCCCCCCACCCTCCTTCCACCTGCAGCTCCACAGTCAGCAACAACAGGTCCTTTTGCTTTTAAACCATTCATTATTATTAAGGAAAATAGATCATGGATTAGTGTAGAAGGTCCTCGCAGGGCACTCTAACTCATGTAGAAAGAAAATACTAAATGCACCCAAACACAAGAGATACAATCTGCTGTCATAAAAAAAGAGAAAATTAGAATTCAACCAAAATAAATCAAGAGTATTCTGAAGTTAAAAAAAGTGTAAGTTTAACGAAATGAAGAAAAGGAAATGGAAATCGAGGAGAAAGAGTATCTCATTTATGTTGGGTTTTTTAAGAAAGAAAATAAAAAACAGGAGGCAAGTTTACCTCTCCCACTTTTAGTATTATTCCACTTCAGAATCATTTGAAAACAACTAAAAATGGAGAAAGAAAATCATCTTTGGAAGAAGTAAAAGTTTTGTTCCTTTAATAGACTATCCACTACAGTATATGGAGATGCCGCTACCCAGTTATTCATTTACCTATCTTTCATTCGAGCAACTTATTATTTTTTTTGATTTTTGTGTCCTTTTTCAAAAAAACATTTACCTATTTTTCCCAAGAGGTAGATCATAAAAATAATGATATGGTTACAGGTGTCGTGCCCCTTGATTCAGGAGGTGAAATGACAGGGGGGGCAGCTGCTAGCATTAACGGCCCGCCCACACAGCGGTGTGCGTTGAAAGCTTCACCATTCACTTTGAATGGGGTGACGTCACTTTTCGCCGAACTGCATTGTGGGAAGCGAAGCGGAGCTGCAAAAGTTGAGCAATGTTCAACTTTTGAAGCCTCTGCAGAAGCGTCAGCCAATCAAATCATATGCCAGTACAAGCTCTAGCCAATCAAACCGCTGCTTGTGTGTCAGGGGAGGGAGATTCATGTGATTGGTTGTTGGTCGAGTTTCAGACACGCCCGCCGGCAAACTTCAACCCACGCCGCTGTGTGGACGGGCCGTAAGTGTCTGCATTTAGCTGTGAGTTCTGATTCAAAGTGAGCGGACTCATTGAATCGGCTTCCAACTCTGAGAAGTTGTAAAATAGAAACTATTTCAGAGTGGAAGTGAACACTTTGTTATGATTGGGCCAGATGGTCCAATCAGGTTACCTTGAGGGGGCGGGGTGTTTGTCTTTTTTGACATATTTTTGTTTTACTTCTTTATCTTTACAGCCCCAGTTCTAAGCTGAAGAGGGACAATTTCAAAAAAACAAAAATAAATTATATTGGAAGCGTGAAGAAGACATGGTGACTCCTTTCTGTCTGCACGTCTGTCCACTGACTGTTTGCTCTTGTCTGCGTGTGAAAAAATAAAATAAAGAAACATTCTTCGAGCTGAGTTTGTTTATGGTTGAGGTAGCGTTCCTAGTTATGTGTCAAGAGGTCAGGTTGTTTCGTCTCGGTAGCGCCGAGTCTGCCATTTTGTTTTATAATTTGTGGAGACTTGGCGGCCGTCTTAGAGTCTCAGCTGTTGAGCGTCCGTCAGGGCTGAGCTACATGTCATCAGGTCTTCTGCTGCCACAAACAAGAAGCGTGTGGTGAATTACCCACAACTCTCAAATCCCAAGCTTGAATTATAGAAATAGAAATGAAGGGTTAAAACCAGTGAGCTTTGAGCCAATAATGCATGTTGTTAACATTAGTGCTGACCATGTTCTGAAGCAAACATTAGCCTTTAACATTTATGGAAAATTATCTGCCTCAAATCTCTGTAGCATTTTAGCATCCTTTAGCTGATTGGTTTGGTGTCAAAACATCACTTTGAGCCACAGAAGGCAGCTATTCTAGAAGCTGCTAAACATTGAGCAGCTACAGGCCAGATATATTGTGTGCTAACACGTTAGCCGTATCAACTTTTAAGCTGAAATGTGTCAGTGTTGTGTTTACTGCTCGTGTTTGTTTATTCGACCGCTATCTAATCAATGTTTTTTGCTGAGAAACATTGAGTGTAAAAAGAAAGATATGTGCCACATCTTTAATCGTAAATGTGTTAGTTCTAGACACCAAAGGAGAGCAGGTTATTACTCCCTAACAGCGTACTCAGGCCATGTTCATTGTGAAACATATTTTTCTTCTTCTTTTATCTTTTCTACTGTTTGACATGTGTGATAGCAGGCAGAATGACCGTTCTATTTGGTTGTATTGTTTGCAATGACAATATGATAATCCTTCGAACTAACTTTAGCATGTCAAAAATCATTTTTGTATAATTGTGAAAATATTGGCTTCAGAAAATCTAAATATGTGACTGTTATGTCTTCTGGAGAATGTCCAGCAGTAATATTAAATTGCGTTTAGTGGGATAAAGCATGCACTGGTGTCCTTGAAATCATGTCTGTGTGAAGAGTGTAGTGTTTCCCTGGCAGCAGAGAGGTAAAGCAGATGAGGTCCCAGTCAGGGTGATGTCTCACTGCTGTTCTCTGCAGCAGTATTCCAGGTTATTTGCTCAACATGGCTCTATACTGCATGTTGGACTGAGCCCTTACTGTGTGTTAGCACAGTTACTGAGCTACATGTTAGTATGTTGTCCTATTTAGTTGCTGTTTTGTTAGATTTGTAAATAAAAAAAACAAAAGAACAAATCAAATGTTTCCAAAAAGGGTCCAAACAAAAAAGGTTGTTAAAGTAAATAAAAAGGTCTTGAACAGTGAGCAAAACGAACACGATGGAGACCAGCGCAAGAGAGGGCGAGGGACCCTGACGTTCCCGCCTGCTCCAAAAATGAAATGATTTCTTTAAATAAAAGGTTTTAAAACATGTCACTCTCCTCCCGGAGTACAGAAGGGCGAGGAGATAGCACTGAATCATGTGGAAGGACAGAGGGGGGGTGAGAAGAAAGGAGATGGTTGAAATCATCATAAACTCCTCCCCCGCTTCCTCTTCCCTTTAATTCTTTAAAATTGCATCAGGTGTTACAGGATGTTCTCAGTCCTTTTTCGTAGTTTGACGTTGTCGACATTATTCATTAATTAGTGCAACAGTACGCCCCCAGATGTCACGTCCAAATAAAGCTTGCTGTATTGTAAAAAAACTCAATAAATCAAAGAAAAAAGAATGGATCCTAATCCAAATGGCTGCAGGCTGAATAGTGAATCCTAAATATGGTGTCTTGGTGGTTTGGAAAAGAGGTGGAAACTTGACACCATGGTGAAGTTACCACCTCCGGGCAAAAAATGGAAGCATAGACACAATAGAATAGAGGTTCCCTGTGTGATGGGGAGCTGGTGGTGTGGCTGAGGGCAGGTAAGACTTTAAAAAGATTCTGAGTAATCTGGCAGTGTCCGTCAGTGACTCGGTGCCATCTTCCCCTCTCAGCGGCTTTTCTCATTCCTACGATTTTTTCTCCAAAAATACAAAAGTGTAGTGATGACCTTTAGAGCATCTTATGTACAGGTTTGAATCTATTACTCAGCTGTGTGAAGGATGTTTTAAACTCGACTTTTTCTGCTCCCATTTTTTCAATGGTTTTGGATCTCTTCCATAGGTTCTCGTCCTACTTTTTTCTGCTTTTTTCACCCAACCACTTCTCCTGACAGAAATAAACATTTAAAACGAGTGAACACACACACACACACACACACACACACACACACACACACACGGCCAACAGGGAGCGTCTGAGGTGTTGCGGTCAGTGCACAGGTAATAAATATTCACATTCAGAGAAGTCAGAGCTAGTTCAGGTGTGTGTGGTTGTGTAAGTGTGTGTGTGGTTGTGTGAGTGTGTGTGTAGCTAGAATGCTCCTATCTGCCTCCATGTACAGTCACGCTGCACATGGGTCACTTGACTCTGAAGAAAACAGCCTTCAAGGCTCACTGATAGATTTCTTCTTTGTGGCTGAGAAACACTTAACGCCCTCTCAAAATGTTTGGCGCTTGGTGATGATGTCATCACAGTAAGGCAGGAGAGGGAGGTCCTGCAGGGCACTCTGATGGCGTGAAACACTTAAGGACCTCCCCTCCAGTGAACACCACTCCCCATTGGCCAATATCTCACACACTTCAGCAGGATGGGGAGTGTTTTCTCACACAAAAAAGGCAAAATGGCGCTGGACCCGATTCCTCCAGCGGTGTATCTCACTCTGATCTGAGAAAACCTCCCTGCCATCCTGAGCACACTCCTCAAACACACCAAAAAACAGAAAAAAATAACCAAAGCAACAAGACAATACCTAAAAAAAAATACTTTTTTTCTTTAAAAAAATTTAAAATATTCAGGACTATCAGCTCTTTCTTTTTTTCTTCTTATATAAAACACCAGCAAGCAAAAAAAAGTAAGGAATACTGAGGTAACTTTACCCTGAGGTAGGTTTTTCTTTTTCATTTCTTCTCTAATCTGTTCTAATCTTGGCGAGAGCGTCCAGGCGTAGACCCCGCCCCTCAATATCATACGCGGGCAGGGTCCGAAGGCTCCGCCCACAGGCCTTTGGCAGATTGGGAGAGAGAACAAGGAAACCACCCCCCCATAGTCTGATTTTACGTTCTCTGAGCTCAAGGCTAGGAGCTTTGGAAGACTTTGCTTCGATAGTTCCCGCGCTGGGCCCAGGCCGGACTCTGACTTTCTTTTATTCAGGCATCGTTTGTCCAAATGAACAGAGAATGCAGCGATGGTCTTGAGGACCCCAGCTCCTCTGAGGAGAAAGCCATCCTGTCAGAGAGCGGCCTGGAGCAGCAGCGCAGGAAGAAGGCAATGAGCAGAAAGTCTCAGACACTCCTTGTCTGTCTATCATTGCACACACTCGTTGCCTTCAATACATTCACCAGAGGGGCCGGGCTAACTCACATATCATATATATATAATATATATAAAATATGCCGTTTAAGGTGCGGGCCGCTAGCCAGCTAGCATAGCTGCTGGCTGTTTGTATGAAGTTGTTGTATAAAGCGTAGCGGGGCCGCTGCATTAGAACTGCAGGGCCCGCTGCAACCTCGCTCTCCTTACTGTCTCCTGCTGCGCCTCCACCACACGGCTTAACGTGGAGGGGCCTCAGATCCTCCACAGCCCCCCGCCTCCACGTAGGCTACATTATGCTACATGTCAGAGACAAGGGGCTTGGAAATATACAAAGACCCCTTTTTTTTTTTTAAAAGGCAAGGCGGCCAGGCACAGCATTTGTTAACATTTACATGAAGATTATATATTTACAACCTCATTTTTTTTCTTATAAACTCCCCGCTATTCGGAGAGGTCTTTAAAGAGCAGTGTTAACATCTGCGGCCCCTCTTCTAGACTTCCATTGGCTAGGGGATATGGGGCGTGGCTAACGCCTCACCTGCGACCAATCCCCGTGTGCCGCTGCAGCAGTTTCCCTGCTCCCTCTCCCGGCTCTGCCTCACTGCATACTATCAATAATAGCTCTGAATAAAACATTTCTATACATATATCTCTATGTTTAAAAAACCACCCTTAAAATATAGGACTGAGTGCAGATGGTGGGAGAGGTCTGCAGGGGGCCAGAGGAGCAGGGGCCTGCTGGTGAGTCTCCACTGTTGGGGCTGCACCAGGAGGTCCCGCCCCCCCTCTCCACCTTCCCTTCATCCCCCCATCCTCAGTCAGTCTCTCTTCTGGCCTGGCATCTGGTTTCTGTTCTCAAGTTACGTTTTATCTTAATCCTCTTTTTTTATTCATTTCATCTTTGATTTTATTCTTCTCTAAACGCCGATCTTCCTCCCTGGCTGTCGGGCGTAGTCTCTCCCTCTTTATATCTCTCCCTGTTTATCGCTGGGTCCGTGTGTCGCTCTCCTGTCTCCGTCCGTCCGTCTGTCTCTCCGTCCATGTCTGTCTGTCCGACCGTCAGGCGGGAGGGCGCCCACGGCATGTGAGGAGGGGGCAGGACCCTCACTTCCTGCGCGGCTGGCTCTCCTGAGACAGTCCCTGTGTAGGGCTGCCCATCTCTGTGAAGCCCTGGGGGTTGGGGTTGGGGCCGGGACCCCTGTCGCCCCTGTCACCTCTCTCGCTTCTCTCGCTTCTCTCGCTTCTCTCGCTTCTCTCGCCTCTCTCGCCCCTTTCTCCTCTCTCGCCTCTCTCGCCCCGGTCTCCCATCCCGCCTTTCTGGGGCTGTTTGACCTGAGTCAGGATGTCTCGGATCTTCCTCTGAGCCAGCTGCAGGACAGAGGAGAGGGGGGAGGGGTTATAGAGAGCAGCTACAAACAGTAGGCAGACACAGATAGAGACTATGGTGAAGGTAGAGGAGCATTCAGCAGCTAATGAGCTGATGTGTCCTGAGGAGCAGGTGGAGACCAAACCAGGGCTCAAATCGGACATACCTGGGTTAAGATGTAATCGTTTTTTTCTTAGCAAGGTTCGTCACTGAGTGAAATGACCAGGAACTACCTTAGTGGCAGCAATGATAAGAAGTGTTCATAATTTCTCAATGATAGGTAAGGAGCTTCAATGCTTTGTTTGTAATCTCTTTTAGCATATCATACACTGGACCTTCCTTTACGAAAACGAAGGAGATAATGTCCCGTAATTCCTTTCAGCCGCAATATTTAAAGTGACACACCATTCTACCGTTAAAGGAATCAACCGACCCTTCTTTTTGACAAACGTGGATAATTTGAGTTACGGTGCTTAATAAGCATTTCCCATCTTATGCCATGACTTGCAAAGGTGCTTACATGTCACAAACCATTAACAATATAAACCAAAAGGAGAAATTCAACCTTTACTTTAATTGCTGAAACAAATATTAATTAAAGTTTCACTGTGTTTAATGAGTTGGGTGGTGTTTATCTTGTGTTTTAGTGGTGCCCTGCACACTTATAGATGTGAAGGCCTTACAAGGAATGCATATGCTGCACAGCATATGCATTCAAACATTTTCAAATAATCATACTAATTCGGAATCATGCCAATAAAACAGAGGGTGAGCAAATAATGACCAACTGTTGTCAAGTGTATAAGGTCTGCATGATAAGAACGCACAGTGAAGTATCTAGATGCAGTTGGATTCTTTTAGCAACATAGTTCTCATTTCCTAAATCCAGAGGAATTCTCCCTCACATCTTTCTTTAACCCAATAACATTTTTCAATGACATTTAGGAAAAGTTTCTAGGAAAAACATAGGACCTGATTTTTTACAATTCGACCGCAGCCCAGGATTTCTGTTTGATTGATTTGTCAATATTTCAAAAATCAACAGGGTTTTTATGTATGTGCTGGTAAGACGCGGTGATTATTTATTGGTTTGAATCTTTCACAGGATATGAGGTGTGATAAAGCTTACCTGGCTGGCATAGAAATGTCCGTTGATCTTGACGATGACCTGGTCGTTCTCATCAGGGGTCTGATCTCTGGGGACGACTACCTCCGCTGCTGTCAGGTTCTGTAGCTCGTTCACCTGCACACACACACACACACACACACACACACACACACACACACACACACACACACACACACACACACACACACACACACACACACACACACACACACACACACACACACACACACACACACAGGTTACTCTGAGAGGAAGAGCAGAGTGTAGAACACGGGTCAGAGAGCTGAATAAGACTCTTACCGTCTTGCCTCCCTTTCCAATGACCCGTCCTGCAGCAGCGGCAGCCATCTTGATATGAGTCTCCAGTTTGACCTCCTCCTTGGGCCCAAAGAAGTTCTCCTCCTTCAGTTTGCCATAGATCCTGCCCTGAGCCTGCAGGAGGGAGACCAACAGGTTAATCATACTTTTCACTTTTCGTTAGGATCCTCATTAGCACTGGCTATTTAAAACAAACATACAAAATAAAATAGTTTGTTTGGGTCCCTCACTTCTCATGCACTGATTCGCTAAGCTGAACAGCCAATCAGAATGATTTCTTTGGCTGACGGCCTTAGGCCTTATGCTTATCGGAATATCGAAAATCGGCTCGGTGTGTAAGGACCTTAAAGAGCAGAGCCGGGAGGCCAATAAGGAAGTGCCACAAACTGCAGTTTATCTATTGGCCGATAGGCGATGACTGCAGAAAGGATCCATTTCCATAGACCCCCATGTTCAAATGCCCAACTTTACAGCAGAAATAAACATGTTTCTGCCCCTGGATGCAATAAAAAATATTCGGAATATAGTTAGATTCCACCTTCATGATTGAATTGTTTTATAACGCGATCCTTTTATTTATATTAGGTCTTAACGTTTTTGCATAAATTAGGGCGTGGTCACTTTGATGGACAGGTACGTGCCTCACTGTCAGCTAACAGCAACTTGTCCACTCTGCTAGGCTACAACGTTAGCTAGTTGTAGTTATTGTACTTGATATATACAGTGGGGCAAAAAAGTATTTAGTCAGCCACCAATTGTGCAAGTTCTCCCACTTAAAAAGACGAGAGGCCTGTAATTTTCATCCTAGGTACACTTCAACTATGAGAGACAGAATGGGGGGAAAGAATCCAGGAAATCACATTGTAGGATTTTTAATGAATTAATTGGTAAATTCCTCGGTAAAATAAGTATTTGATCACCTACAAACAAACAAGATTTCTGGCTCTCACAGACCTGTAACTTCTTCTTTAAGAGCCTCCTCTGTCCTCCACTTGTTAACTGTATTAATGGCACCTGTTTGAACTCGTTATCAGTATAAAAGACACCTGTCCACAACCTTCACTATGGCCAAGACCAAAGAGCTGTCAAAGGACACCAGAAACAAAATTGTAGACCTGCACCAGGCTGGGAAGACTGAATCTGCAATAGGTAAGCAGCATGGTGTAAAGAAATCAACTGTAGGAGCAATTATTAGAAAATGGAAGACATACAAGACCACTGATAATCTCCCTCGATCTGGGGCTCCACGCAAGATCTCACCCCGTGGGGTCAAAATGATCACAAGAACGGTGAGCAAAAATCCCAGAACCACACGGGGGGACCTAGTCAATGACCTGCAGAGAGCTGGGACCAAAGTAACAAAGGCTACCATCAGTAACACACTACGCCGCCAGGGACTCAAATCCTGCAGTGCCAGACGTGTCCCCCTGCTTAAGCCAGTACATGTCCAGGCCCGTCTGAAGTTTGCTAGAGAGCATTTAGATGATCCAGAAGAGGATTGGGAGAATGTCATATGGTCAGATGAAACCAAAATAGAACTTTTTGGTTAAAAACTCAACTAGACGTGTTTGGAGGAGAAAGAATGCTGAGTTGCATCCAAAGAACACCATACCTACTGTGAAACATGGGGGTGGAAACATCATGCTTTGGGGCTGTTTTTCTGCAAAGGGACCAGGACGACTGATCCGTGTAAAGGAAAGAATGAATTGGGCCATGTATCGTGAGATTTTGAGTGACAACCTCCTTCCATCAGCAAGGGCATTGAAGATGAAACGTGGATGGGTCTTTCAGCATGACAATGATCCCAAACACACCGCCCGGGCAACGAAGGAGTGGCTTCGTAAGAAGCATTTCAAGGTCCTGGAGTGACCTAGCCAGTCTCCAGATCTCAACCCCATAGAAAATCTTTGGAGGGAGTTGAAAGTCCGTGTTGCCCAGCGACAGCCCCAAAACATCACTGCTCTAGAGGAGATCTGCATGGAGGAATGGGCCAAAATACCAGCAACAGTGTGTGAAAACCTTGTGAAGACTTACAGAAAACGTTTGACCTCTGTGTGATTTTCTGGATTTTTTATTTCTCATTTTGTCTCTCATAGTTGAAGTGTACCTAGGATGAAAATTACAGGCCTCTCTCATCTTTTTAAGTGGGGAGAACTTGCACAATTGGTGGCTGACTAAATACTTTTTTGCCCCACTGTATATATATACAGATGAAGCACTCCAGATCAGACTCAGGTGGGTGTGTCCCAGTCAAAAGCCCAGCGGATGCCAGCGGCTGGGGGTGTTGCCAAATTGCTAGAGGGCGTTGCCCAATTTCCCCATTTGTTCAATTACAGGATTTAACCATGAGATGGCGCTTCATTCACAAAATACACAAAGACAACTGTTTGCAATGTTTGCAGCTCTGCAGTTGTGTTTGCTGAATACTGTAGCATTTAATCACTTATGTGTTACTGTATGGTTTTCACAAGCTACTATAATGAAAAAACATCAATATTTTAGATCAAATAAAGTATATAGTTTGCTTTATGCAGTATATTTCTTGTAATATTGTTGGGGTGTTTTTACACAGTACAGTAGATTGAAGTAAATCAACTTATACATTAAGATAAGATAAGATGGACCTTTATTAATCCCGTGGGGAAATTCAGTAGTTCAAACAGCAACAGGGTGAGAGTGAAAAACAGGACAGCACAGATTCACACAGATTAATACAAATCAAAAATAAGATGAGCGATACAAATAATAATAATGAGAAACTATGAAATAAGAAATGAATAAAACTAAAATATAATTATCATATCATGTATTATAATGTATTGTATTATTAAGTAATATCATACATTAACCCCATTATAGCAGATGCCACATTGAATGGATGAACACATTTATGCATCAATAATTACAACAGAGTATTTCTAAATACAAGTTGTAAAAATACATATATGTATTTAATATTAACCCTTTGGAGTCAACCGTCACGCCGGCGTGATCAGATCACATGACCTGTGCCGCATAATAACAACAGTCCGGACAACATTGCCGTGTGTTTCTGTCGAAAGTACTGGCTTGAAACTATATCCCAGTCTTTGTTTCATGCAAAAAGACCCAGTAAACACGGCGATACGATGATATAAAGTTAATACATTTCAAAAGTATGAAAAATGGAAGCACATATTTTAATATCTTCGCCGTATTTGATCATTTTACGAAACGGAAAATACTGGAAACTGTAGATTCTGCTCAACTGGATGTATATGTGTATTTCTGTCGAAAGTACTGGCTTGAAACTATATGCCAGTCTTTGTTTCATGCAAAAAGACCCAATAAACAGACACAAATAAACACGGATATACGATGATATAAAGTTAATACAGATATATTTCAGAAGTATGAATAATGGAAGCACATATTTTAATATCTTCGCCGTATTTGATCATTTTACGAAACGGAAAATACTGGAAACTGTAGATTCTGCTCAACAGGATGTATTTACCAGGGAGGGGGTGAGGTAATCAGGTAAACGGAGTGATACGAAACGAGACGAAAAGACACGAAGAGGGACGGCGGGAACCGAAGAGAGACGGCGGGAAATGAGAGAGACGAAGATATACGAAGACAGGCGGCGGGAGACGAAGAGAGACGGCGGCAGACTGGATTGAAGCAAAGTGACAGACAAACATTGAGAATTTAGATATAGTTAGATAGATTTAGAGTTTTGAAGATTCAACTATGATGAAGAGAACTCTGAACGTGAGTCAAGCTTTAAGCTTGTTTTTTGACATGGAGGAGGAGGAACCTGTGATGTTGCCCTCTGTGTCGTATTGACAGAAACCGCTTTGAAGCGTGGCACAGATAAAGACAGAAAAAACTGATTCTTGTACATAATGTGTATATATATATTTGTATTATATTTATAATAACACTTTTGCCTTATCAGAATGAAATCCCATGCTACCTCAATCAAACTTTCACATTATCATAGTGACATCCCATGTATATATTTCCAGCTTTTAAATGGTTTCGTTGTGTATGTTTGTGTTACATATGAAAAATAATATCATTTTCAAAATCTGTTTTTACGTTTTTTTTGTGATTTTGGGTCCAAAATGTTCATATAGTAGAAGATCACTGCTCTAAACAAAGTCAAAAATCCTACATCCAAACGAAATAAATATAATTAATTATGATGAATACGTACGATGAATACGTACGATACGATGTATCGTACGTACGATGAACACATACATACATTTTCACTCTCACACACATATATTCTCCTTTTACATACATACATGTTCACTCTCACACACATATATATACTCACACATTCATACATTTTGCTCTCATATTATCATATTTCAATGCACACATTCATATATTGTCACTCACACATTCATGCATTTTGTTCTCATATTCATATAATGTAATGCTCATATTTATACATTTTGCTCTCATGCGAAATGTACTAAAACAAAGTATGTAATGGTAGTGGTCAGCTGTTAAACACAAAAGTGTATCTTAAGGGCTGTAAATATAATAAGCCTGTTGTCAATTTTAGACACAGGCTTATTATATTTACAGCCCTTAATAACATTCATTTTCTGGACTCAATGTGTGTCTTGGCCGTTTTCTTTGTTCCAAGCAAACGAGTGCTTTTTGTTTTGAAATCACTTCCGCGAGTTTCGCGGGCCTCCCCCCTCGCTCCACTGACCAGTAGACCATTTAGTAAGGTAACAAGCAAAAGGGCAAAAACGCCTCTCAGACGCTCTTCCGTTTACTTTTTTAATGAAGAAAAACAAATGGTCCGTAGATACACGGACTCATATAGCCTATGTATGTATACTGTAAGGAGAATGTATGTGCGTGAGATGACCAGTATGAATTACGGCATATAAATATGCAAACACAAACCTACAGACTGGGGGATGGGAGATCACAGGAGTGGGGGGGGGGGGGGGGGGGAGAGCTGTGGAATGTGACCCTTGGGAGAATTCCTCCACACATTCCGATGGCCAATTCGTTTTAAACAAAGAGTTCGCAACACAGGACAGCATAGGCAACATGGGGGGTGGGGGCTGGTGATCGGTCTGGTCAATGTTTGTAAACACAAT